AACCCTAGGTGAACTGCATGGGAAGAATGTAATGGGGTGTTCCCTGGAATCATCCCCCAACCATGCTCCAAACACACCCACCTCATCTGCAGAAAAATGAAATTTGTGCATGGTGCCCGAAAGGGTGGGCTCTCTGTTTGTGGTCTTTGTGTTACGTGTTCCGTGTCTGGTATTTTTCCTCTGTGCTATGGGGTTGAGTGAATTCTTGATCACTTTTATGGGCTTTTATAATTTTGTTTCCTTTGACACTCAAAGCCCACATCCCATTCCAAAACATACCATTTATTGGGAGAAATTCTTAGGACTAACCTGGTCTGCAGGGTCCACTTCCCCACTGCTCACCACTTTCACCCCTGAAGGACAGTAACTCTCCCTTCACTGGCAGCATTCCTAACACTGCTGCATTTCAGTCACATTCTGGTGCTAGATTGCACTCTTGTTCTGGTGCACTTCTTCTATAATCCCTTATCCCTCCCTTTTTTAATGGGAATGTTTATGCTGACACATTTTAACTTGGGATTATGTCATTTGCTTCTGATTTATTACAGAGTTTGCAACTAACAAATGCTCTGAGTTTCAGAAGGGCTTTTGATTTGGAGTTTTTAAAAATGCTGGAACTGTTCAGACTTTGGGAAAGGGGTGGTTGAGTTTCCAGTTGTACGTAGGATAGGTGTCTTGCATTAGACATATTACAAACTTGATACTGTCTTTATTTGGGTCAAGCATGGTTTAAGGAAATGTGTTTGGGTGTGAAGTTGATTATGGGTGGAATGTGGCAGGTGGTGGGGTGTTAACTTCAAGGCCTTGTAGAGCACACTTCTGAATGTGCCTGGGAGGATCAGGGAGGGGTGGCCTTGCACTTTGTGTGTGACCCCTTGCTCCTTCCTTTGTGTCACTGTTTCCCTGTTCTACCTTTTAAGCTCCACGTATAAAGCAACCTTGCTCCACTGCGCCTTTCCAGCATGATGTTTCTGCCTTGGAAGACACTGACCATGGACTGAATCCCTGTAAAACATGAGCCAAATTAAACCTCTCCTCCTTTAAGTTGTAGGTATTGGATATTGTTTCCCAGTTAGGAAAAGCTGACTAATACAGCAGCTGTACTGAGCTGGAACTAATTCCCCCTAGCTCAAAGGGAAGAATTCCTTTGACCCAGTTTTCATCACCTGTAGTTGAAAAGATCTTATTCATTAAAATATGCAAACACTATAAATCAGGGCATTTTCCCAAGGAATCTGACTGTAAATGTTTCTGGTCCACCACTGCAAGAGATATCATGTCCTGCCCTGTCGTCCTTCCACTGGACACTCATGCTTCCCCAGAGGATGGCAGATAGGTTCCAATGTGGCCACCTGCCTTGGTCTGTTTGACTGATTTAACAAAATTCCACACAACAAGAAGCTCAGAAATAACAGAAGCTGGGTACCAGTGGTTTCACAGCATCCGGAAACCCCCTCCCCAAGAATACAAAAGTGGTGATGACTCTTAGGAAGTGCTGGATTTAACTAAGTATGCAAGAAGACACCACTGGTGACACTGATTGGCTGGTGTGCAGAACTTTTGTTCCAGAAAGTTGGAAATCTTGGCTTTGTTCTACAGATTGCCAGTCACTGTGGCTATGTGTCAATCGAGTGAAAGAGAATTGAAAGAAAAATGTAAGCAAAGCAGAAAGACAGTTTAAGAAATGAAATGAAGCAGTACCTAAAATCAACACTACAATTGAAAAAGCAACAGAAATTACCAAACAGAATGTGACACCAGGGTGACTTGGGGAGAGGGACTTTCTGCTTAACCTTGCACCTCAAGGACACGAATGATCTATCCTAGTGCATCCAACTGTGAGAAGAGAAGTGGCAGCAGGATGATATCTCAATAGCACAGGCTACCAGATTACCGGGGTTAGGGTTAGGCTTAGGGTTAGGATTAGGCCCTTCTGCCATGCCACTTCTGCCTTGACACCAACCAACCACAGAGTAAAACCTCTGAAAACCAAGAGCCAAGATAAACCTCTCAGCCTTTAAGTCGTGGGTGTCAAATGTTTTGTCTCAGCAACAAGAAAGTGACTCCTAGTACAGCACGTCGCCCCCACCTAGACACGGTCTGCCTGTGCTGCAGAGCAGCATCACCTGGGGGCAGTGTCTTGCTGTTCTAGAAAGCAGTCCCCTTCCTTACCCCCACATGGGCACTCAGCCTAGCTTCCTCGGAATATCAGCCCTATGAAATCAGTGGAGATTCTTGTAGAAAGGTCAGGCTAACTTAAATATTCTGTGATCATGCCGGCTCAGCCACACACCCGAGAAAAAGTAGCTCAAGCCACATCAGATGTCCCTGGAGCTCAACCCTGGAGGTCAGCTGTGCACTGGCATTGGGGCTGCAGACAGACTTGGAGGTGGGAGTCCTGACCTTGGACATACATCCATCTTTTCTGGTTCTAAGGTATTGTCTTACCACAGGAAGAAGTGAAACTGAAGAAGGAAAACATGGTTCCTACTTCACTTTAGGGTTCATAGTCTCAGAGGCATCTGCCCAAAGAAGAGGAGGAAACAGCTCTTGCTAAGAATCTCACATGGGGCCTGGGCTGCTGAGTCCCTGCCACACAAGCCAGAGGAGGCAAGAGCCCTTTCCTTGGTCTCAGTGAGACCAAGAGCCCTTTCCTGAGCACTGGAATTCACACGGCTCCAGCCAGGCATGGGAAGGAGTGACAATCATGTTACTGCGGCGGGACATGAAAGCAGCTAGGTCCGTTGGCACGGGGATGCCACTGTTCACTCTTGTTCCCTGAACTCCTAAGTCCTCTGCACATTGCTGGTGCTGTTCTGGCTGGGTCCAGACACATCTCTGCCTCAAGGCTTGGACAGCTGCTCTTTCTTGAACCCTGCCAAGCTGCCTGCTCCTACTGCTCTGCAGCCCACTCCACAGGGACCTCCACAGCTCCACAGCACTTGATGGTCCTCTCAAGACTGTTCTTTCAGTTTGATGATGGAGACAGTGCTGCCTCAGACCTCAGCACCTTAGCCCAGGAGGTCGTTGAGGGAAACTGTGGCCTCACTGGAAGTGGAGACACCAACGAATCTCCCCTTGACCACAAAGTCACCCCTGAAGGAGCTTCTCCTTAATGCTATAGAGGATTTGGTCCCCATCACCCACTGGATACCAAGCTTGGCCAGAGCTAGTACCCCACCCCTGGCCAGGCCCCTTCCCTGATTTCATGCTTTGCTCAGTACCCTGCAGATGAACCGCTGGAGCGGCCTTTGGCTGAAATCTACATTGACCTTAAGTGAAGCCCCATCAGCTTTTCTCCCTCATCAAGGAAACCACACAGCCCAAGCCAGATTGTGAAGCAGCCTTACTAGTTTTGCAAAGATGGTGGACTTGGGAGACCCATGTATTACAACACCCACATCTACTCAGATTTCCCAACGTTGCCTTTCTCCCGGCCTCCTGGGCCAATGCCAGTGGATTAGAGCACACTCTGGGTGCAAAGAGGCTGCCTCTCTGGCATCTGCGGCCCCTTTCCGACAGCTGTTGTCACAACCATGGGGCCTCCCCACCTGCACCCACTGCCAGTTCTCCCAACACACTCCACACTTCCTGGGCACCGAGCCCGGATGCTGAAGCCCTGGCACCTAAAACCATCACGTGATGCCCAGCACCCCAAAGTGGACCTGAGAAGTTCAGACCTGTGTCCAGTACTTCAAAACCTTAAACTGCCAGCTGGCTGCACTACCAGTAATCACTGCGCTGGGGAGGCCATCCCACCTTCCAGGTGGAACACAGGGCCACTGGGCACAGGAGGTGAGGCCGTATCCCTTCTTAGGTCTAAGGGGAGATGCCCCCTTTCACTTAGCTGCTGTCAATTCTTCAGAGGTGACACACTCAGTTTGAACAAAGACCAGTCGTGCTCTGAACACTGCCCTGCATGGAAATCAGAAGGCACAACCACCTCTATGGCCATACTGATCAGCAGTCCAGCACATACCAGTACCTACTCAGCAACCTTACCTTGGGTATGCATTTTCTCAGAGAGGCACTGTCACTTCTTTTCCACAGAAATGGTGCCATTTCATGAGCCAGAAGGAGGGGGATGAAGGTGAAGAGTGGGGTGTTTGTGTTTGCATGTATGCACATCTGTTAGGACCTCAGCTTCAAAGCCAGAAGGACTCTGACATAGACCCTGGCCATCCCAAACACTCAGTATCATGCTGGTCCTCCTGGACATGCATTGGCTCCCAGGCCTGGCTTAGGTTTAGGTGCAGAGCCTTTGGGCACACATCACCAGGTGAGCAGGGTAGGGTCCACCACAACCTGAGGGAGGGGCATCGGGGACTTTCATTCTCATCAGCACTCTCGGGTGTGCTGGTTCCAGATGGTGCAGGACAACCCTGTAGTCCTGGACAATCCATTCCACTGACCACCCTGCAAATCTGTGTCCTTCAGATGGCTACATGGTGCATACATATCAATCTCCCGGGGCAAATCTAGCAAAACCTAAGGAGCACTTCCGCCTACCTGAAGGGTGTAGCCTGTCACATGCAGTTTGAAATGTCTACTCTGCTCAGCAGTCATTATTTGCTCTCATGGTTGGACCAAAGTTTGGGGGCTGCTAATTGAGAACTGGATCCAATTCCAACCCTGAGTATCCATTGGAATTTTTATCCCAGTCACCGTAGGACAGTGTGAGCTATGAGAGGCAGGCAGGTGTCTCCTTGGGACTTGTGATAGTTCACTGCTGCATTTACTCAGCCTTTGCAAGCGCCCTCAGCACCAAAGTTTCTGCCACATTGGCCACGAGGAAGTCACAAGCACAAGAGGCTCCCAAGGACAGGACATCCTTCTAGGGTGGCACCTCATGGCCCAGTTCCATATCAAATTGCCCAAGTGCTCTTTTACCACTGTGGTCGGAAATCAGCAATAGAAAGTAAGCCCAGGAAACCCCCCTAATTTATGACCCCTCCAAGTGTCCCATAAATATGAGAAGACTGCCTGCCATTGTGTGGTGGCTGTTGCTTCCTGAGACCAGGGACACAAGACTGTTTTCTGAACGCCTCCGGCTGGCCCGCCTCACTCCAGAGCTGTAAGTAAGGGAAACCTCTTGCTCATTCGCTCTGTGCTTCTCTGCTGGGAGCTGGGCTGCCATCTGACCTCCAAGGGAGGCCGCGCCACAGAGCCTGGGTGCTGGCTTCCTCTGTGCGGGCTCCTTTGGCTGATGAGAGTAGTTGCTCCCTACTAAGCTCCTGAGAAATGTGAAGGTTCTGAGGGAAGCACAGGTCTCCTCCACATCCAGCCAGTGGAAAAACAATGGCTTCTCAGAACTTCGTACTGGGAGAAATGTGTATTCACACGTTTGTATTGAAGTTGTTTTTTATTTGTTGTTGAATTGTGTTGGCTGCTTACATATTCTGGATATAATTTGCAAATATTCAACTAGGTCCTGTTTCCTTTTCTCTCACCCGAGTGAGTACTGTGTGGTGCACAAGCTTTCTAATCTGATATGACCCCAGTTGTCTGCTTTTTCTTCAGTTGCCCTGGCTTTTGGTGTCCTGTACAAGAAATCACTGCCGAGATCCATGTCCAGAAATTCAACTCTTTGTTTTCCTTTTCTAATGTGGTTCTTCTGTTTCATAGATTATACTTAGGCCTTTAAAACATCAGGATTCAGACACATCTCCAGTAAAACACACACAGACACACATACTCACACACACACACAAACACACAGAGACATCTAATCTGCAGATTTCACACTTTAGCTATAAACAGGTTTAACTTGCCATTCATACCTTGGAAAATATGGAAAAAATAAACACTTTTAAGTGTTAAACCAACACCGTGCATAATGTAACCCTGAGTTCCTATCAGACCATAGCGTGATAGCATCAGTGAGATGTCCACAAATGCTACTGCAGGAACCTGCTCAACCAGTAACCCCAAAACCCCCTTCACAGTGTGGAAACACCCCAACCATGATGAGTGGTGACTGTCTGCTGCCCTAGGACACAGATGTGATACACAGGCTACACCATCGCAGCATCACAGTCCACATTAGAAATGCAGAATCATTGATTCTCTGGGCATAATGAATGAAAGCACAATTTCCTGTCTGTGTTTAATATTAAAAGTAAGGGTTCAGTCAAAGGGGAATTAGAAACACAAAGAACACAAAGTCTTCATTCCCACTATTGGCTTGAGCTAGGAGAGACACTGAAGACACAGGCACAGCCTTGTGGACGCCAGGAGAGCATGGGGCTTCCAGGGGACGCTAGGGCAACGGCAGCTCTGTCCAGGCTCATCACACACACAGCTTCCCTCACTGCACCCTCAGCCTCTGAGCCTTATCCTAACTGACCATAAATACAGCCTCACTCCTCTCTCCCACACACCGGGATCCTGCTCTCCATCCTCAGGGACTCCCAGCCATGAGGACCCTCACCCTCCTCGCTGCCATCCTCCTGCTGGCCCTGCAGGCCCAGGCTGAGCCTCTCCCAGGAAGAGCTGACCACATTGAGGAAGAGGAGCAGGTTGCAGTTATCTTTCCTGGGGAGGAAAGCTCCGCTCTTCAAGATGCAGGTGAGAGAAGTCAACAGGACGGACACACGCGGTTCAGCGAGAGTAGGGCAGACAGGATCTGGAATTGCGTTTAGAATTAGCTGACTTTATTTAACCTCCTGTACCTGTCTTTCCTCTCTGAACATTAAGAGCTAAATCAATCCACGATGTGTTCTCGGAGAAAGAGTTGATTCCAAACATGAAATCAAAGACTAAGGTTCAGTATATGAAAAGGCTTACAGATTTGTTCTAGCTGAATCTAATGCAAAGGCTTAGTCAATAGGAGGGTATCTTATTCCCTAATCTGATATAATCCACGGATTCTCTAACATCTTATTCTCTATTTGAAGCTCCAATAATAAGAGCTTTGGAAATGGGAGATCTACGGGAGGACATGTCCACCTAATTGTGTGATGGGGCATGGGGAACAGAAGAGAAGACACAGGACAAGAGGTCTCCACTTTGTGTGGGACCCGAGGGTGTAAAGTGTATCCATCAGCCCTGATTGTAGCTCTTCATGCTGCTGTCTGTAACCTATTAAGACAGAGGAGGCAGTGTCCACCTAGAAGGCACCTTCTCCACCACTTGATTAACACGCATAGCTGGATGGCCCTGTACTGGTTGCCTGACGCTCGCTCTGTGTCCACAGGTGTATGGAGAAGTAAGGCCTGCCGATGCAGACTATTCTGTCGTGGAAGGGAAATTCTTACAGGATTCTGCAACAATACTCTTCTCAGACGCTGCTGCCGCTGAGAATCCAAAGCTGTAAAAATGATTTTAAAAATTTCCCTGAGGGCCAGGGGAGTAGCTCAGCAGTGTAGCACTTGCCTGGCAAGCATAAGGCACTGATTTCAATTTGCAATGCTAAAAAACTAAAAATAAAAATTGCATTGAAACATAAAAGTCAGTAGTTTGTCCCTGAGTCAAGTCTTTCTCTTTCTTTCTCCATCTCAAATAAATCCCTTGCTGCAAGCCACCTTTTACTGTGCTTCTGTGATGTTTCCTTGGTAGCTTTGTCGGGACTCTGAGTTGCAGTGGTTAGAATGTTAAATAACCTCCTTGAAAACAAAACCGGTGTCAAATGCCAGGAACTACAGTGATGAGCACAGGCTCTGTCCACAGAGTGACGTGAAGTTTATATGAGGATGTGCTTTCTGGTAGCTGTTGCTCTTCTCAGTGAGAGCTGCCTTCCTTAGAAGTGAATTTCAAGGACATTTCCCACATCATAGGCAAAGTAACGATCGTTAGGCTCAAGTTTACCAGGTAGAGAGGCCTTCACTCCTTAGAACGATGACCAGTCCTTTCCAAAGTGCTGGCCATTCTTGAATTGGCCCAGGTGGTGCCTGTGCCTTTTCGGCAGAGGGTTGTATCACCTTCACTAAGACAACTTTAAGTAACATTAGCAAACGCTGTTAGGAAAGACAAGATGAGCAAGATGAAAAGCAAGGAGCCGCATCCTGAGGTGTGCTCATTATTATTATTTTCTACCCACAAGTAGTGCAGCTGGGGTTTGTACATATCAAGGTGATTTCCAAGATAAGAAGTATACATGGAGAATTCCTCAGGTGCACTTTGAACAACTCCTTAGAGTTGGCTTAAGCTGCTGAGAACCTGATACTGCCTGGAAAATAATGTGTGTGCACTTAGGCAAAATGCTCTCAGCAAGCTAGAGACCCTAAGATGTTTCTGGGTGCTGGGGTGTTAGAACACACACAACATCCGACCGATCAGCCATGGGAGGCAGGAAAATCGGGTCGAAGGAAAGAATGGCGACAACAGAAGCAGAATGTCTTAGTTCAGCACAGACTGCTCTGGGACATCACCAGCTACCCCTGGTTTATATCCCGTGCTGTCACCCCCAGCACACACACACTCCACACGCACACATGCAGAGCCTCAGGCACACACACCTGAAATTATACTATAGAGCTGCAGCGATTAAAACAGGATTCAAAGCATGATCTTAGGGGCACAAAAGCCTGTAATTAATGATTACAGAATCACTGATCAATAGTATAGAATGGGGGATGCAGAAACAAACTGACACACACCTGAGCTTTGACAAAGGGGACAAAATCACACACTTGGGGAGCAACAGCCTCTTTAATAAATAGTGTCTCCCCATGAACTAAACTACACGCAAAATAAACCAAAGATCCAATTTCTAAACTAGAAACACTTCATCAGCGGAAATATAAAATAGGTAAAACTCTTGAAGACATAAGCATAGGCAATGACTTTTTTAACAGAATGAAATAATACCAAGAATCAACATATGGGACCATAACAAATGAAGAAGCTGCACAACAAAAGAAATAACCAGCAGAGTGAAAACACAGCCTACAGACTGAAAAATCAATTTTGCTAGCTATTCCTTGGACAGAGCACTAACACCTAAAATATATAGAGAACTCAAAAAAAGCAGATCTCCCCAAATAAAAGACTCATTCAAAAAATAGGCAATAAAAAATTAATAGACATTTCAAAGAAAAAGAAGTACAGATGTGAATAAATACATGAAATCATATTCATTGTTACTGGCTATTAGAGATATGCAAGTTAGAATTGCACTGAGACACCATCTTACCCCAGAAAGAATGGTTATCATCAAATCAAAACATCTAGTAATAAGGAATGCTGGCAAGGAAGCGTGTGGGAGAGGCATTCTTCCAGACTCTGGTTTGGTATGTAAATTAATCCAACCACTTGGAAATCTGTGAAGACCCCTCATAAAGCTAACGATGGAAATTCCATTTCATCCAGCTGTTCCTTCTAGATATCTTTCCTGAAGAGTTAGCATCATCATATGCTAGGGTTCCATGCACACCCATGTGTATTCCAATAGCGAGTTTAGAAATGACACATATATCACTCAGCAGATGCATGGACAAGGAAAGAGTCGTTTTTGTGTACAATGGAGGACATCTCTGCCATGAAGAAGAGAAAATTGAGTCAATAAATGGATGCAATTTGAAAATATAATGCTAAGCAAAATAGCACAGGAACACAAGCTTAAATATCATTTGTTTTTATGTGAGAATATAATATATAAATAGCTAGAACTTCACAAACTCCCTGAATTACCTATTCCACCACTTCAAAATATTTTAATATATTGCCAATTGGTTTCATCTATACACTAATTTCTGTAGTTCACTGAAATGAAAATTTTGTGCTCTTATCTGTGTCTTCCTCCTTTGTAAGACTCTTTTCTTTAAGTCTTGCACTCTGAGTAACCACTTTGAAGATGACATGCAGTGTATTCCCTGCTGTTATTTTCTTGTTATGTTATTATTCAGTTTTGCTGTATATTTGCATAATATCAGAAAGAAGAAAGGAGCTTCATGCATGCTGCCTTGGATCCATGGTGTTTTCAGCATTCAGAGTAACAATTGTGAGTGTGTGTGGCACACTCTGCATCGCAGTCTTCCTTGCTCCCCCCAACCACAAGAAACTTGAGAAGTGGCATTGAGGGTGGCAGCTGCCTTGACAACGGTCCTGTTTTACAGTTATGATGGTCAAGGTCGTCTGTCAGTTCCACTGGTGGTGGAGCCTTCTAGGGGATTAAGGAAGCATCTTCTGAGGGTATCTGGGTGGTCTTGGAGGCATGTGCTCACGAAAAACGGCATCTGGGCCATGGCGTCTTCCTCTCTGCTCCTCTGCTCTGTTTCCTGTTCTCCATGAACTGAGCAGCTCTGCTCCACCATGCGCTTCTACCATGCTGTTTCCACCTTGAACTCAACTACTCGTGGACTGAAGCGACGGGCCAAAGAAATCTCCTTTAGGTTTTGGTTGTCAGGCATTGTGGCTCAGCAATTGGAAAGCTGCCTAACACAAGGTTTCGTGGAGATTTCCTTGTTTCTCACCACCTAAAATATCTCTGTAGCTGAACGAATATCCAAGCCAGAGATCCTCCCCAGCCCCAGAGACTCCAGCAACCCTGCCTAGCTTAGACCCACCCAGGAAAGAGCTGTAGAGGCACAAAGGCTTCAGTAAGAGCCCCCCACCATAGCATCTATGAGTGTGCACAGATCCTAGGGAGCAACGGTGAGGTCCAGACCAGTGTGGCTGCAGGAAGATCCCAGTTAGGGATTTACTCTGACCCCATGGGCTGGGGCAAACCTGCCAAACCTAGGCCCAATGGACAGACCAGCACAGGTACACAAGCTTTAGTCAGAGACCTGCCCCATAGCGGTATGGTGTGAACGCAGGAATTGGTGCACTGGTGAGCAGGAGAGAAAAGGCATTTGGTGAGTGGGTGAGCAAAAAGTGGTCTCAAGAAAGGCACAGCAACCTGCATCTGTTGAAAGAAGGCACAGAAACAAGACCCAAAACCAGACTTCCAGATCACCTAAGGCATCTCAAAAGAAAATGAGATGGAAGAATTTGATACTGAACCACCTGGACTCCCTGCACTGTCAATGAAAGAGGATCTGGAAAACATGAAGTCACAAATAATTTCTCAGATAACAGCAGAGTTTGTTCCCATAGTACAAGACATGATTAATAAATCTGGAGAGAAACATACACAGAAAAATAAAAGACAGAGGAGCTGAGGAACATGATGAAATCCCAATATAGGAAACAAATGGAATCCATAAACAGATTCAAAAAGATTCCAGGACATTGAAACCTCCATTGAAAGTTCACACAGCAGAATGAGCCAATGAGGGGATAGAATTTCAGATATAGAAGGTAGGATTGCAATTATTGACCAGGGAATGAAAAATCCCTTAAGAATACTAAGGGACCATGAGAGATCAATCCAGCAGCTGCCAGATGATTTGAAGAATAATAATAAGACTGATTGGAGTCAGTGTAGTAACAGGAGAGAGTGCAGATGACATTAAAAAAAGTGTTCATCAAAGTAATAGCAGAAAACTTCACAAATGGGGAAAAGAACATGATGTACAGATAAGACACTCCTATAGGACTGAAACTAGCCATGATAAAAAAAAAGCTACACATAGGCATATCTTAAGATTCCAGAAACACAAGAGAAGAACAAAATTTTATAAGCAGTTAGAGAAAAGAAACAAATCATGCACAAAGGAGAGCCCATCAGAATCACAGCAGACTTCTCAACACAAATCCACAAGTCAAGAAGAGAGTGGATTTATGTATTTTACACCCTAAAGGTGTAAAACAAAGCTATCTTTCAAAATTGATGGAGAAATAAAATACTTTCATGACAAACAGCACCTTAGGAACTACATGAACACCAAACATGCACTCCACATAATTGTAAAATATCCTAGGAAAAGATAATGAGGATCACAATCCCAGGAAGCCCAGCAGAATGACAGATTCATTCTGTCAGGCACAACAAGAAATTAAATGCAAAGGGGTTGAATCCAACAAAAATAAAAGTTCAGGACAAGGATAAGTCAATACATATCAGTTATAACCACCAATGTTAATGGTCTCAATTCACCAATCAAAAGAAAAAGACTGGCAGAATGGGTCAAGAAGCAAGATCCAACAATATGCTGCATACAAGAAACACACTTAATTTAAAAAGAAACACATGGACTGAAAGTTAAAGGGTGTAAAGCAATACTCCATGTGACAGGAACCCAAAAAAGCAAGAGTAGGTAGCCTCTTTGCAGATCAAGTGGACTTCAAACCAACACTGACTGAGAGAGACAAAGAAGGACATGACATCCTTAGGGAACAACCCAAGAGAAAGAGATGACAATCATAAATACATAAGAATGAAATACTAG